TCAAAGTGCTAGAGAGAGAACCGCGGCCTCCGACGCGCTATTTATAGGCACGCTCCCGCCTCCCCGGCCGGCCGGTACCGCCGCAAACGCTACGTCCTGCAATTTTTAAATCCGTAGACCTTTTCAAGTGTGTACAATACTTAGTACATTATTTGATAAATCTCGTAGGGTTCAGCCTGCGTTTGCAATGCAAGCGGAAAAAATTTAATTATTTACGACATCACATTAGAAACCTCAAAAATAAATTTCTCCACTATATAATGGATGTTATTATACATATAAACCTTCCTCTTCAATCACTCTATCTATTAAAAAAAATCGCATCAAAATCCGTTGCGTAGTTTTAAATATTTAAGCATACATAGGGATATAGGGACGGACAGAGAAAGCGACTTTGTTTTATACTATGTAGTGAAGAAGCAGTTAAAAATATGTGGAATAGTTACGTCACTTGCGCGAATTATATAGGGTCGGTTTTTAGTCGGTGATCATTTCTGACTATTAATCGCCGAAGGGCGACTTTCTTTGCTGGTGGTCTCTACAACAGAAAAATACTAATCTCTAAAATAGGATTAAATGCATATTAATATGAAAAATAAATATGAATTAAAAAGACAGATTTTTTTGTCACAAATGGTATAAAAAGTATCCAATATTTAGAAAGATTTAAACAAATGAATGTGCATAATATCTTTTTAAAAGAATTATTTATCTTTTCTTGTAAGCGAAGAACCAGACAAGAACCGTTCTGTATACAGGTACGCTAAATTTAGGCATAACTGCCAAATTATTATCTCTAAATTTACACAGCTTCGCCTATATTTCTAATATATTTAATTAAAATTTTTGAATCTGTAAGATTTCGAAGTTGAGGACTAACCTTAAAAGTCAGTTTAATTAGAAGAAAAAATAGATGAGTTTGACAAAAATATTTATGCAGAAAAGTCACAGAGGAATTGTTCAGTACTGAACACCAGGAATTCAACTTAAGATAGAAAGATCAGGAAACCATTTAAGAGTAATTCTTTATCATTCGGGGTCGAGGAAAGCCGAAATAAATTAAGAAAATCTGTGTTCTAAACTGCGAAATCTTTAAAATCTTGGGTAGGTTCTTATTTCCCTCTGATTTGCTTTATTTATTCAATTCATTGCTTCATTATCGGATTTTTATTGTTCGCACGTGTTCGTTTATTGCTAGATTACCGGTCATCAGATTTCATTTCTTACTTTAAACACGTAGCAGACCGCAGGGACGTGCCTGGACATGGATAAAAACGTTAACCCATTTATAAGAGATGGTTTCAAACCTACTTTCATTCTTGGATTCCATAATAAATATTAGAACTGCCCACAATAATGCTTCTTGGAGCAAATTTTGTCCATAAATTGTACTGGGCGGTTAAAGTCTAGATATGAGTACTGTGGTAGACATAGCAGGAAACGTGAAAGAAAATTTTTGATGTAATAAACGAAAAAGGTATAAAGGAAATTATTTTACACCATTCAGCAGGAATTGATAGTGGAAAAACATTGAAATTATCACAATTCTGAAAGACCAAAAGTATGAGACAGAAACGGATGTTTTAAGCAAGAATTCTCGATAAAAACCATAAATGAAATATTTTCTTCAGTAGAATAGTTAATTAGCCATGTTTTCGATTTGGATCCCCATGGAAAGTAGATTAAAATTTCAGAGAGGTATTCAAAATTTACTGGAGATCTACTACACACAAACGTAAGTAAAGTGGAAATAAAGCTCTATAACATAGCTCTTTTCACTTTGTTAATGGTTCTAAATGCAACCATTATTATGTTAATGGTCTAATCAACTATTTCATTAATGGACCATTTTTATGCTAATAGTCTCGAAATATGTTAATGGTCTAATCTAAATATGTTGTTAACAGTTTTAATTTTTTATGTCTTCGTAGTCTCATTATCCGTAGTTTCGTAATTCATGGAAGAGCTTAAACCAATTTATTAGCTTCGAGTTTAAAAAAAAAATTTTTTTAACTTGTACCAGAATTATCGAATTTACGATCTATAGAAATAGAAGATGAATGACTGGAAGAAGTAGGTCAGTTCTAAACATAAAAATATCCAGAATGCTATATATACTCCGAAATATTCCACAATCGTTTTGAGAAAATAGTAGTGGTAAACATTCTTATATTGCTAGTGGCCCTCCAGTATATTGCTGTTAAAGGAAAAAATTATACACTATCCGACATTGAAAATACAACACTAAGAAGGAGTGGCCCGAAAATTATACAAATGTCACCGAGTTATGCGAATTATGTGAAATGCGCGGCTCTCCAGCGCACGTTGAAGAAGGTATAAGAAAAGGAACCTGTAAAATGTTCAATTTTCGTGCTGTTAATTTTCGTGCTGAGTGCGCAGTGCTTTCTATCAGGAGGGTGACGCCTAATCACACACTGCTCACATCAGCCAATGTGCTCTGCAAGCTGTACATATACTTCCCTGTCCACCGTTCTGTCCTGAGCTCTCATCAATCGAACATATCTGGGATGTGATTGGACGTCATTTGCAGATCCTGCCATTGCCATGTTCAGAAGACGAACTGTGGCAAATAGTTGACAGTTAATGGAGAGCCGTTTCTCAGGATACCATCCGGTAGTCTCATTGACTCTGTACCTAGACGTGTTGCTTCGTGTATCTCCGCCCAAGATGGTCCTATAACCTACTGAGCCGAAGCTGGTCCTATAAGATGTCCTGAGCGAATATACTGAGCTACTGAGCGAATATTATATATAAATTTATCAGGTTCAATGTTCCGTCTTACTTTCTTTGGGAACATGCAAGGACCTGACTTGGAACAGGGAGCTTACTAAAGCTATGTTCAATAACTGTGGGAAGTAGACAAGATACACAAGAAGGGTATACAAAACCCTTTATTTTTCACTCTTTACAATAATTTCCTTACTTCGGAATACAGAGACCAACTACTTGTGGTCTGAACGTAAGAATATAAAAATATAACTAAACTCTAACTTAAATTTGGAATAATAAACGTGGAAGATTGGCCTTATATTAACAGGAAGCCGTATGTAGTACAGAGAACTGTTAACACTACAATACGTTTAAAATTATCACGAGGATTAAACCTCTGGCCTGGAAGGCAAACGCAACCGAGTAAAACTTCTAAGGCAAGCGGCCTGCTGCTTCGACTAACTCCTTCTCTCTCTCGCTTGGCAAAAAGCCACAACTTAAGTACTTGGCGTTCGCCAGACAAATTTTGCATAAAATAAGTTAACGCTTTTAATTCTGGCCGGAAGTAGAAAATAAGAAGTGATAGTAAAGATTTAAAATAAAATAACCGTTAGTAAAACTTAAGATCCTTACAAATTTTGAAATAAAGATCACTTATTGTTCGTTGCTGTCTCTCTCTATTTGCCGAATTTCAGCACTTTCTTGCCACTCCTTTTCAGTGTCGGGTAGTGTAAGTTGCCTATCGTATTTACGAAAATTAAGCTATATATGTCACTCAATTAAAAATATTCTGTTACAAATTTTCACTTCAGAAAACAGAACTGTATCTTTTCATGAGCGTTAGTATTACGTATTTTCTTCCCTTTTGCTTTTTCAACTAATGCAGGGAAAAAACATTATAAATTTATAATTGATTAATACAATAAATGGCTAGCTCGTAACTGACATAAAACATGCCACTATAAGCTGGTAGTTAGCCGAATGGGCTATTAATCTTAAAGCGGGATTTTGCATCGTCCCTATAAATGGTAAAACACCTTTTCACCTTTCAAATTGTTGCACCAAATACTATCCCCCTGTAGTATCTTTAAAGAAATTCAATAATGAAGAATCTGCACGTATGTATGGTATGTTTCTCGCACCGTGAAAAAAAAGACGGTACTTAGAGCCATTAAATTTTAATTAACTTTGCCCTCCACCCGAACATACGCTCCTGGTAACCCGAATTTCGAATTCCAAATTTATATTCATATTTTGTAAAACTTTAATGAATTTCTGATTAACAAATTCAACGATCTGAAAACAAGTAGTTACAACACTGTATGGAATAAAATATTTTTATGTCCAATGCGCGAAACTGTCTGTCGGAAATTCTAAAGATATGCTGTTTTCAAATATTTTGTGTTTATATTACTCCCAAAGAGGCCGGTTTTTCATTTACACACACATACACCTTTCGAGGGCATTTGGACTAACACCCCTTTAGACTAAAAATATTTAAAAAAGTATATCTTTAGAATTTTCGGTAGACAGTCTCGAGCGCTAAAGATAAAAAAAAAAGTTTTATTTCGTACAGTGTTGCCACTGCTTGCTTTGAAATCGTTGAGTTTTTTAATCAAAAATTCTTAACGCTTCACAATATATAAACCCAATTAGAAATTCCAAATTCGGGCTTCCAGGGGACCATATTCGAGCGGGGGGACTACGTTATTCAAAATTTGATGGCTCTAGGCACTGTTATATCTTCCCAATACAAGAAACATGCACACATTCATGCAGATTCTTCAATACTTAATTTTTTTAAATATAATTCAGAGCGATGATATTTGGTGGCAACAATTTGAAAAGTGACACAGCCGCTTATAATGATTCGGCGCAAAATGCCGTTTTGAGACTAATAGCCTTTCTGAGCTTGATGACCTTTATGGCTAAAAACGTTTCGTAAGCCATTTTAATAATAAAACTGAAAGTTGATATGATAAACTGAGCAAAGACTGAAAACAATGGAAAAACGTATGCCAACACTTAACACTGTATCGGGAATTCGAAACGTATGCTGCTTTTGAAATTTTTGTAATTTTGCTGTTGAGTCGTATATGGCAGAAGTGCGAAGAAAATAGTGCTTAATAATAGTGAATGCAACACTCCTGGTAGACTACGAGCTCAGCGAGAGTTTAAAAACCTTAGCAAATCCTTTTGAGCGATGGTTAACTCTTTCAATTTTTTAAATTTTTTAATTTCTCCTGATTAAACCAAGTTTCTCTTCATAGGTACATTGGAATTTTGTCTTCTTTTTGATGCTCACAACCAAGTTCTTCATTGCACAATGTATAGAGCAAAGGTAAAAAGAAATTCTCTAACGTAAGAATATTAAATAATAAATGCTTATAACGTTTTCTTAACTATAATGCACAAAATTATTTAAAAAAATGATTGAAAGAAAGCTATTTCGGCTGCTTTAATAAATTCTCCTACACTATTAAAAGGTGCTTTAAACAAATCAGTCTCTGTTTTCAGCGTGAATTAAAATTATCTCTCTTAGGTCATTCATGGACGAAGAAACAACAAAAGGAAGTCCATATTTATTTAGTAGCAAAGATAATTCTATAAAGCAGTTTAAAAAAAAAAAAACCTAAAAAATTACTGATAGAAGGTAAAGTTTTAATTTTCTACACCAGTGAAGCGAATGAAATTTAACACCTATCTTAAGGCTCATTCTTTAAGAATGTGATACAGAATTTTAACGCTAATATTTTTCAAAATGCTTTAAAGTTTAACTTTTTATTAGCATATCAATGTGTTGTTGAAATAAGTCCTAGTTTATTTTTCACTTTGAGCTCTGTTGTTTCTTTGAGCCCTGTTGTGTGAAATTGCCTATACGCACTGTGTAATGTAAAATAATATTACTGTCCGTCGTCACCTTTAACGTCAGATAACAAATATTTCTCAGGAATTTATGAAGAAAATGAATCTAAGCATAAATGAGTTAAAATTCAACAAATGGTTTTTAGAAAACTTTGCTATCCTTAGTTTTCAATTCTCAAAAATTAAAATAATTTTATGCTAATATATTTATCATTATTCATTGCGGAAGATCAGATTTTTAAAAATGTGAACTATTAATTGCGATTTTGTAGCTCTACGATATGTAACAGTTATTTTAAAGTTTCACACAGCCTTAATAATTTTATAAATGTATATATTATTTGCAATAAACTTCATGAATTCACAAAAATTAATTTAAATATATAATGTGTATCTAAAAATCCACTAGACTTAAGTCATATCTTTCATATACATTTTTATATTACTCTCATGCATTAAATTATCATACTTTAAAAAAAGAGTATTAAAAAAATAATCTGCTTCTCTAGTTGCCCTTTTAATAATTTAATAATTTAAAAAACCTCAGCTTTTTTATACCAAATGTAAAAGCAAGAATTCAGCGCAAGAAGATTTTATTTTGTTAAGGATTTGAAACAGAAAAAAAACAAAGGATAATTAAATTGTGCCAAATGTTAAAAGCTATCTTAAATATAAGCCTATTAAATATTATTTAATCAAACTTTCAGATTACTTAGTACTTATCTAATACAGAAACATTAGAAATTTGATGCAAGCTGAAGATTAAGAATGATAACTCAAGCAAAGATAAATCATCGCTTGATACAAGTCTGTGGTAACCAGTATATCTACTTTTTCTCGGTAAATAAAAGCAGGAACTTCGAATTTATTAGTAGAAAAGATTAAAACAGAATTTATATGACAGATCTATGTTAAGCTGATCGAAGGTTTATTAATGTGCATACATGTAGACCTTAAATTTACATTGACATCTCTGAAAAATTCCTTTTCAGCAATACAAAGAATAAGAATAAAAATCGAAACATACGGAAAAATGTCTCATATTTCAGGTCTCCAGAGATCGAGTAGTTAGAAAGTTTGTAAAAGCTGTTGGTTTTCATAAACTAATGATAGAATGAAATACGCCAAATTTAATAAATTTTATTAGTCATAGCAACACAGCGAAGGATTTTATATCTTTCATGCTAAATTCAACTTCGAAATTTTTAAATGATTACTGATATGAATGTTATTAAGAAATATTTTAATAACTTTTAGCATTATATTAATAACGAAGGTTATTAAATTAAATTGGCTTTCAGCGTTCACAATATACCCGATTTTACGCTTACTAAGCTGCAACAAGTTACTATAAAACTCCTTTCTGATTGTGAGATAAAAATTTAAGAAGGAAGAAATATTTTTCATTTAAATTCCCGTAAATCATCTTGATAATTATAAATTCTAATTTCAGGGACTCAAGCCAACTGACTGTAATGGACTCGCTGACCCTTATGTTCGTCTACATCTTCTTCCAATCCAGAGCAAGGTATAATGTCTTTTACCCAACCATGCATACCTAAAACCATTTTGATATCTTTTGATATTCACTCGTGTGCAAAATTAAGAGAATTTGCACATTATGTCGAACTTCTGAAAAATTAACGGGCAGATTTTAATTCAACTTAGTGTGAATATACGTTTATCCCAGAGAACGATTATAGAGTTATTTTATGTACTCATGATTATCTGTAAAGCTCATAGTAAAGGGATGTCCAAATCCACCTTGTTATATCAAACTGAAAAGAGTCTGATAGGCTGTACGGTCCTCTCTTGCAGCCATATAGATCCCGCAGTGCCACAGCATACTGGACAGGAGGCATTTGAGGAGTTCTGCGGCAGTCATTCCCACTCCTGTATCAAGGCACTTTTCAAATCCGGGATGGTTCCGAGATGACGAGAGGAAATTACTCTCCTAAGAGTATCCCATGTATGCTTTATAGGGTTAAGGTCAAGAGATCTGGCTGAACAATCTATGCGTTAAATAGCCTCACTTTCGAGGTAATCATCGAGCAGTTCTGTCCTAAGTGGACAAACGTTATAGTCCCTTAACAGGACCCTAGAGCCAACAGCGCCCTTGAAAAGTCGAACATAGGGCTCTAAAGATCTCCAGATCTCCTCTCTGTACCTCATAGCAGTCACGGAGCCTCTATCAAACACATATAGGGCTGTGTGGATATCCAACATAAAACCTGCCCAAAGCATTACACCTCAATCACCGTAATAATCCTTTTCCCTGATGAGGGAGAACGGTATCGTATGCCAGGCTTTCTCCAGATGCAGGAACGCGGAGGATTAATTTCTAGGCTGAATCTCGACTCATTTCTAAAAAGCAACGGTGCTCCGCTAAAGTCTGGTCCAGGGCACATGTTGTAGCCTTCCCTCGAGAAGCCTTCGAACAGCTGTAGTTCATAAAAGTCGAGTACTATTCGCAGTGCGAAAGCCGCTCCAAAAGAGAATATTCTATGTGTTTATATTATAATATCGTTATTGCTGTATTTAATGTGAGTGATCATAGCTAACAATCAGAATTAAATTTCTATCGTTGGCAGTGGAACGATGCAGCTTGTCGGTGTCTTTCGTTAAAAACCAAAATGGAAATGTAGTAGTCAAATTTTGTTCATACCAAATCAAGATCAACATTAATAAGCATCGATATCAAATAATGGAGCCCAAAGTAGCCGTTCTAATTCGAAACAGTACTAAGCAATGCTTGTTTATAATTTATAATAAATTTAATTAAGGTTTGCTAAGTCTGTGACATTTAACTTTACATCCAGACGGTCTATACCATGCGAACATTTATTTGATTTAATTATTACTTATGTGTAGTTAACACACTAGTACTTAGAAAGCCTTATTTTCCAGGGAGCATTTATATGTATCAGCTAATTGTTTCTTTGTTTCATAAACTTCTAAAATACTAATTTTAAACAGTTGAGTGAAATGCTAAGTTTTCATTCCGAGCATTATAATTTTCAGCGTTGGGCATGTTGCAGTTCCGTGACTTTGTTCAATGCAGTAGCGATTCTCAAGTATATGATTCGAATTCTAATCTAACCTGATAAAATGGTAAAAATTTTACAGATGATAGTTGCACAAAAAGAAAAATTATTTAAAAATATGAATTCGGATATCAGTTTAACAGACAGCTGATGTCCTATAATAACTCTCTTTTAATTTTAAGTCAATCAATCTATCACAAAATCTTAATCTTTTTTTCTGAACAATGAGAAATTGATCTGCAAAGTTGTTGTTCCGAGATAAACATGTTTAAGTGTTTAAACGAGAAAAACTGAATTACAGCTTCTTAATAATTCTTACGTATTTATTTCATGAGCACTACATTCTTTCAGCATAGTAAAAGGAACAAAATAATAGCATATATAGAACATATAAGAGTGTATATTTGTAATGTTATGGTGCTGATAGCACATAGTTAAAATAAAATAATGAAAAGACTATTAGGGTTTTTGAAAATGAAAATGTGAAAAGTCGAACGCAATTGCCCTGTAATTCGAAACACGTATTTTTCAGTTTGCTAATTCGATGTGCTGACTACTTACACCAAAAACGCACTGGGAAATATGATAATTCCTCATAAAATTCGACTACTAATATTTGATCATGAACTAATAATACTCGAGTTAAACAATAATTCTAAGAGTTCCAAATTCTTCAACCAGAAATTTTCTGAAATGTAAACTAGAAAAAATCATACGTATATTTATTTAACAAACGTTTCCAAATAAAAACAATGCACATGTTCTCTTTAGCTTATAAAAAAAGTTTAATTGTCCTTTTAGAATAAAAAAGGTACTACATACATAGAGACTATATATTTAAATATTGCTACAGATTTGTAGGCAAACAAATGGCAGTCTAAAAGTAGGAGAAACAGAGTAAAATGTTATGATTAAGATGCATAGCATGTGGCGTCAGAAATATATTCTATTAATTATTCTAATGCTATATAAATGTAAAATAAAAAAGACACTGAAAATATAAAAATTGTAAAGATACATGAATAGTGCTGTAAATGGCTCACTATGATGCTATAATAAATAGTGCTTATCTATAATTTGGGAGATAGATGAAAGACATTTTGTTGCATCGAGAAGTAGCATACTCCTGCAACCTTCTCTCTCATCTCGAGTTTGATTCTCGAGAGCAAACAGGCATCACAGGAGTTTCGCAGTTTTCTTCACAAGAAGTACAAATTCCCAAATTGTCCAAAAAAAAAAAAAGGTCCCCATTTTGTTTTTCGCCAGAAAAGTAAGAAAAGACATATTTTTGAGCGCATACATGCTGCATTTAGATTATGTAATCGATTGACGCGAAACTACCTTTAAAGATTTATGAGCTTTTCCATCTTATTTTTAAATAACTGATAAATTTATCAAGGACACGTTTAACTACTGAAGGTGTATTATCCTCAAAATTTAAGCATTAATAAATTTACCATCTCCAAAATTTAGCCATCGAACAAATTTATCATCCTCGAAAAAGTCTGCCGAATCTTTCGCACTTCATTTGCATCATAAATGTCTAAGTTATAAAATATTCTTATTTATATTAATGAACACTTCTAAGAAACTCGTCAATTGTAAATACTGAGCTTTGCTAAACTGAGAGTATCTTCATTTATTTCTTGATAATTTTAATTCTCTAACAAATTTCTTTTGAATTTTTAAAAGTACAACTGGATTTTATGCAAATCTGCAAACTGCTGAAAAATTAAGCATGATATATTTGATATATTGATATAGTCCAAAATTCTAGAAGGATTTCAAACAGTAACAAAATTTGAACATATGATTTTAGTATAAGAACGAATTTCATGAACTGGATCTTAATTATGAAGAAATTTTTTGGCTGGAGGTAAACACTGAATTCAGATTTTTATCAATAGAAGGTGTACTGTACAGACAGTAAAATTTATATTCAAACTAGTATTCTAAATAATACCGAATAGCTATTTCTGTAGGCAGATATTTACTGCCGAAAATTATCCCGTTCTTGTGACTGTTATTTCGTGTTGTTATACCCACTAGCTTGACTTTTATTGATCTTTTTAATATTTATTTCTTTTTGGACCATCCTATATTTTGCAATAAAACGGGAAGAATTATTAATCAAATAGGTAAACAATCGAATAAAATATTTAAAACCTTAGCAAAGTAATGAACATAGTTTATAACTAATAACTGGCAGTAAATCTAACTACTAACAAGTGCGTGGAAAGAATCTTTCTGATAACTCTATTCTGATTTTACGCAGTTTTTCTTTTATAATTCCCTTCTTTTAGTTATTAAATTCTTTTTCTCTTCTAGATTGACAAATTAAGAACGAGAACTGTTCATAAAACCCTCAATCCCGAGTTCAATGAAACTGTCAGTTTTTATGGGATTTCGGATTATGACATCGCCAAAAGAGCTCTGAGGTACTAAAATTTGAAGATATATTTTTACTTTTCGAAAGAATACATATAAAGCGTTTAAAATTATTAAAAGCTGAAAATTCAAGTATTATTTAAGACATTTGAATTTCACTGCAACGTTATCATACTTCAAATGCCTTCTTTTGCGTGTCTTCAGTATTAAAACAAATAACTGCTAACAAATAATAACTTATAAAGACACATTAAATTTATCAAATGATAATTTCTCATCTTAGTTTTAAGAATATCGAAACTTGAAAGTGAATTATGGAGAAAACATATTAACTTAAAATTTAACTGTATCAGTAAAATGGCTTATATTCTAAATTAGTTTCCATGATTGTCTGAGCAAAAATTCTTCAAACCGTTATTGTTCTGAGTAAAAAGTTATGACTTTAAAAAAATATGTTTTCTAAGAAGAATCAGGAATATTTTTCTTAAAAAGAGACAGAAGTCTTTTTTTTCTCACTTTTGGAAAAGTTATTGTTATAATTGGCATCACCTTGTTACCGTTTACATTTTTATCAATCTTTCGGTGAGCTTACTTTGGTTTTATAAGTTTATCATTATACTACCATTCAAGTTTTCTGATTTTTATAATTCTGTTCATTTTTCAGGATGACAGTGATGGATGAAGATACGCATTGTAATGAACCAATGGGTGAAGTTCGTTTAGCTTTGAAGAAACTGAGACCCCACCAGCCCTATAGTGCGATCGTTTACCTGGAAAAGCCAGTCAAGGTTTCTGATCACTTCATGACTGAAAATCTTTTTTTATTTTCATTTTAAAGAATTACCTGACTTTAGCATGTAACTCTAGCTAAGTGAATATATGTTTACTTCACCTGCGTATTTTTGACATTTTTCATTACCATGCAGTGACTATCAGTCTCTCAGTTCAAAATAATTAACACGCAAAGGTTATCAAGATGTACCATCAGTGTTTTAATTAGTTAAGTTAAAAAATAATTTTTGACAAGTATATTACTAAACATAGAAAAACATAAAAAGTTTTCTTGAACATTTAATCTGTAAATGAGAGTTCATGAAATACATACGAATGAAAAACGAAAATGCTTCTACCAATAGATTTTTTAACGGAAAACTTTCGATTTTCGAAGTTTCTTGGTGTTCTTTATCCGAAGTTGGATAGTTGGCAAGAGATACTTTCAAATTCTCATCCAGTGAAGCCGAAGTTTCTTTTCCTTTTATTTCTCCTACCAGCGGCCGAGCGGTAAAGTCGCTGAACACTGGTAGTTTGGTCCGACGTTCGAATCCCGCGAACGGGCTAGCTGCATGGGCGTTTTCGTGGTTTTCCCCATGTGTAACATATATACGAGCCATTTTTTCTCAGAAAGTCCTCCACGAAGGCATTTCCTCCCCTTAGGCAGATAGGGCTAGTGTGCTTTGCCGTAATTAAATAAACCAAACCTTTTATTTCTCCCTTCGCCGGGATCGTTTTTGGATTGGCTGAGATCTGTGCATCTGTACTCCAACCGTCTTGGCTGTGGGGGTTATAAATACATGAGCCCAGTTTCTGCTATCTGAAAGGGTAGCGGCTTAACAGCCATCCGAGGGATTAGTGTGATGGCCAGTATTTTTCAGATTACATCGGCTTCCCCCCCCCCCCCCTCCCCCCCCCCCCCCCCCCCCCCCCCCCCCCCCCCCCCCCCCCCCCCCCAAGAATACCCCCACCCCCCCCCCCCCCCCCCCCCCCCCCCCCCCCCACCCCCCCCCCCCCCCCCCCCCCCCCCCCCCCCCCCCCCCCCCCCCCCCCCCCCCCCCACCCCCCCCCCCCCCCCCCCCCCCCCCCCCCCCCCCCCCCCCCCCCCCCCCCCCCCCCCCCCCCCCCCCCCCCCCCCCCCCCCCCCCCCCCCCCCCCCCCCCCCCCCCCACCCCCCCCCCCCCCCACAGCCATACAAACTCCACACCCTTCATGGAGTCTAAGTCATGAGTGTCTAAGAGATGATACTTTTCATTCCGCCCCTGGAATTGGGGACCCCGGGTTGTGAGGTGCTCTGGGATATACTAAAATAACTAAGGAGCTTTCCAAGCGCATAATTTCTGCCTGAAATAGACAGCTTAAAGCATAAGCCATGTAGTGAAGAGTCAGAAAGATGTACTTATTATTGTTTATCATTTTATGTAAAGTATTCGATACCAGCTTTTCTTATAATCTTTGCTTATCTTGTATAGACATTAGGCATTTATAGAAGCAGGCAAGATGAGATATGAGCAACGCCTTCGCCGGGAATCGAACCGCGGACCTCTGAAGTACGCACCCAGCATGTAGACCACTAAGGCATGCTAAGAAGACGGGAGAAATACCTTATATATTCCCCTTTTTAAAGAGCGACTGGGGGTTTTTAGGGAACCCATTCCTCAAATCCTGGATGTGGAGAATCATCATCCACCACCCTTTTAGTTCGGCGCCACTGTGGAGACATTAGGTATTTTTGGAAGCAGGAAAGATGAGATATGAGCAACGCCTTCGCTGGGAATCGAACCGCGGATCTCTGAAATACGCGCCCAGCATACAGACCACTACATCACGAAGGCATGCTAAGAAGGTGTTTATAACCTTACCCTTGTCTTTTTGCTTTTCATTTCGATTCTCTTCTACTTTTCTTGCATTGATACACATAGTAGCCAAGGGACGCTGTATAAATCTGGAAGATTTATTGTTGTGATTTAAGTTCCCTAATTTAATTTAGTGTTGTGATTTAAGTGCCTTTAGTGAGCCTTAATCTTGTGATACAATAATACGAATAATGTATTATTATATGATAAAAGGAATGATGGAATGATACAAGAAATTTAAAACCTTCATATTCGGCTTGTATTTTAACAGTTTTTTCATTGAACACAGACAGAACGTTGCGTTTCAATTTTGTTCACGTTTATCTGTACATATCCGTAGTTCTTTATCTGCTTTTGTTTGACTAAAAAGTTCTTAGCATGATATTGTTAATTTTCGTTAACTCATTAAATACTTTTTAAAGAGATAAAGTCTGATAATAATTTAGGAACTCTTTTTTTATGCTCGCTACTTAATACTTAAAACCTAATATAAAGATTTAAAACTGTCAGGTTATTTAATACTTCCAATTCTAATATAGCAGATTTAAAACTGTTACCTCCTGGATTTTTATAAAGATCTACAATTCTAAACCTATTTGATGCTTCTTCATATTTTATCTGTTTCTATTTTAATTTATCTTCAAAGAAGTTAATTTTCCAGTCAGTAAGTTTGAAAAATAATTTTTTAGTTATTAAATTTAGAGTTAGTTTTTAAATTAGTATATTTGAAACTGACTAAAATATCAGGAAAGTCAAGATCCAAATTTAATAACAATGAGGTTAAAAATTTATTTTTTGTTTAGGAAAAATTCGTCCATATATTGAATGTAACCATAGCATCAAGCAGGCTTCAGAAAGCTATAAGATAATGACTACAAAATGTTGTATTAATGAATAGCTAATATTATTCAATGCGAAAGTGAATTCTTCTATGTCTCTGAATTATCATTATCATTTGAATCTGAATTTAATTCACTGTTTATCCAGTTGACCAAACTAAACTATTTCAATTGAAACTCTTTCTGAATTTGTTATATTTCTAAATAGACTTGCGTAGAAATATTTTTTAAATCTATCTTATGTATTTGATTTATTTTAAGAATTTATACATTTATCTTAAGAAATTTTTTGTTTCGCTATATTTTACTCTAAAATCTTGTGTATATATTTTAAGGTACGTACGTACTAACTCAACCACCTAAGTAGAAGTCGTCAAATTTTAGGATTGTGCCAAACTCTGGCAACCCTGCTCGTAACAATCCTTCAGTCAAGCAACGCTGCCATTTTTGAATGCCTTCTCTATTGTTCTCTTCCGAGATCTAACGGTTACTATAAACATATAAATCGCGATTTTCCCCCTTAGTTTTAAAATATGAGTTTGCGGAATTTGCCAGCAACTGAAGAAATTGCAGTTAAATTTTCCTTGATAGCCGCGATCACCGAGGTTTGCACGAAATTAAGTCTACACAACTCTATGATATTTTTTTAAGCAAAGCCAAATCGCTGCCTACTTCGGGGGAAGAATACTGCAAAAAAGTTACAGAAATATTTGAATAAGAATGTAATTTTTTTTTTTATTTTTTATTTATCATGTAATAACTTACTTAAATTCAGTTGCTAAGCGTGTTTTCTTTTCAAATGTTAATAATGTTTACCGATTTACATAAATATCGATAGTTTGCGAATCTTTCGAAAAAAGAGGCCCAACAACACCAACTTGCACATAATAAGTAACTTTTACATCTTATCTGTAAAATATCGCTAAATTGCGCTAAGGTGGCTACGTTAAGGACGCAAGTACCTATTTTACTTTATCATTAATTCTTTTATTTATGGCTTTAAAATCTTCTTATAGCTCTGCATTTGCATAAAATTCAACAGAAAAATTATTATCTGGAATGCAATACTTTCATTTTCTAATTAAAAAAGTGCGCTTCAAGTCAAATTCTAAGCTTCAAAAGCTTAGAATTACTTTCATGGCATTTTTCAGCTTAATGGCTGAAGCAAAAATCCCATTTCCACCTGGAATTGTCATTTTACTTCAGCTAGCTAAAAAACATAACTAATAAAGGCTTTAACTTTGGTCTGATTTTTCTAAAGATTGCTTTCCGAATGCGGTTCGGAACGCAGAACCTTTCCATTTTCCCACAAAATGTTAGAAACTCAGTTTAAAATATTTCCGTCCCTTACTATATGGAAGTTAGGGGCTCCACCTAAGACCTTTTTCTTAGCATGTTTGCCTACGCAGTTAATTACGTTTCTGCTTCATTCCGGTACAGATATGAAAATGAAGTTAGGCCCATCTGTTATTTTTACAGCCACAAACCACGAAATTGTACTATAGTATTCACGAAGGAGCACCTAAATACTTGGTTTTTATGTCATGTGTACGTCGAAATCTAAAGTGTCGGCAAAAATAAAAGGTACGTTTCGTTTAAAACAAGGCGATCATTTTTTTTTCTGGTAAGACACTACAAGTTATTGAACAGTTCCTGTCAACACGAAGAAAGGTAATGAAGTTGTTTCTTACATCTTAACGAAAATTATAATTATAACAGAACCTACATTTGTCAGTGGATTTTGCTACTGTTTATCATTGAAAGTTGATTTATTACGCGAAAGTATGGTGTCTCTGCGCTACTGAAAGTAGTAATCAATAATTTCAGTAATGAAAGTTCAATAATTTACCCTTAAATCTTGATCTAACTATTTCTACATGATCTTAAAATATAATCTGATCGAAGTTACTCTTCACGAGATACGGTCTAATACAAATTTATTTTAGCTAAGTATGATAAATTTTGAATTATGATTTAACTGTAACAATCAAAATTATTTCTGTAATTATTTGCATTCTGATGCAATCTAAGCATAATAGTATTTACTAGGCTGGCTCATTATTTAAAACAAAAAAGCAGAAAGTGAGTTTTCTACTATATTTGTTGTGTGGCTGCCTACACATGTCCATTATGTATTATAAGTTACTGAAAGTACTGAAGTATAAGTGTTACTGAAATCTGTAACTTACAATTTTTTATTTTAATTGTTTTCTATTTAGAAATCTTGAATTTAGAATCTTCCAGGGTTTTAAAACGAAACTTCTGATGTCAGATACATTGTTTAAAGAATCTGTATCTGTTATCTCCATTAACATTTACACTATTTAACAAAAATTTAATATAATTAAACTGCACAACATTATTTGACCTACTGTAAATTTAAAGGAAGGTATGCTAAAAAAGAGCAGCATCAGATTTCTCAAAAGTGTGATTTAAAACGATGCATCAAAGAATGCATCATTCAGTAAGATAGCATGATTATAAATAGATAATCGCAAAGATATGCTCAAAAGCGGAGAAGACGGGGCATAATACAGCATAAAATTATAAATCAATCGTAAGACAGGAAACAGGGTTCTGAAAAGACATTTGATACTCCAAAGAGTACTTTGCTCGTTAATAAAATGTTTGCAGTGACAAAAAGAAAAAAATATTACAAACATACAATCGAAGTTTGTACTTGAAAATGTCCTGTCATTTACCCCGTTCTGCTCGAAAATATAAGGTAGATCATAATAAAGAAAAGTAATAAATATATTTTAGTATTTTACTTCTGTTTTATGTATTTGAAGCTAAGGATTTTTTCCCCTTTCTGAATACCTTTTTTCTTTCTATACATTTAAGTTGCGGTACATTAATTGACCTGAAGTTTTCATATAACCCACCTGATAATTATTTACACAGAAATATTAATAATAGAATAATTGACAGAATTATTCAAACGTCCATTGATTTTATATTCATTTTTAAATGAAACTCTACGCTTTGAAATTGGCTATTGGTTAGATCTTTGTCAAAAAGCACCCACATGTGAAAATAGGCAACAATATATTTAATCCTTTCCTTTAGATTTCATCAACTTCTATAACAATCAGAGGGTTACTCATTCCACCGTTGTTTCTATATATCATCATAAAGGGATTGGATTGTCATAAAATAAATTGTGCTGTGTTCTGTTTCGTATTAATGGGTTATTTAGGATTTTTGATTAAGTTCTGAACCATGCAAGTAATTATTTATATTGTTTGCATAAACATATGAACTATTCAAAGTAAGAAAAGTGTTCAATTTTTAATATTGCTCTATACGTTTTTCTGGGATGTAGTCTTCAAAAATACTGTTTCTATTTCTCTAAAATACTGTATCATTTAAATGATCTTTTATTCTATTCCAGTCAGAAGATGGCGAAGATGAGACGAATCGAGGCCAAATTCTATTATCCTTGTTGTACTCAGACGATCACCAGGCTTTGGTTGTGGGCATCATCCGATGTGTCCGATTGCCGAGTAGGGAGAATAATGGGTTTCCTGATCCTTTCGTTAAAGTGTAAGTTTGTGTCTTTAACAGTACTTAAATAAAGCAAAGATAACTTTGGCAAACAGAGAGATGGAGTACTGTGGAAGATCAGCAAATCTTGAGGCAAATAACTTTGTGAAATTTAATAGTAAATAAATTATGTAATAATTAGCAAAAATTAGCAAAAGTTTTTATTGCTAACAGCAGTTTCTTCATAGCTCAGTCCAGCTCCATTAAAACAATGATAAAGTTAATCTGAGCTTTAACAAAATTGCAGTCAGCGATAAACATTTCTGCTTTATTTGTGCTAATACTGATTTATCTTTTGTTTTATTTTTATTAAATTCAAAACGTAATTACGATTCATCATTTATTTAAATTAGCGGTTACTGCAGTATTCCTTTCGCCACTTATGTACACATTATTATTAACTTGCATTGTCAATATAATCACATAAAAATAAAAATATTTTATTTTGGTTCCATTCTAAAAGGCAAATTATGTGACTTTCATTCAACGCAGTATGTTTCACAAACGTTGCAAAACTAAATATGTCTTAAACGATTGGTCATAAACCTATTGTTCCGATTTAATAAATACGATAGAAAAAGACTGCGCCAGTTTTGATCTCTTTTAGCAAACAAAATATGAAATAATGGCTCTAAATGGAAAACTGACAATGGTAATTAGTTTACTATAGCCTAATTATTTGAAGGGTAAAAAATTCCATCTTCAGACGATTGTTATGCGATTGATAACTTATGCGGTATATATCATTAATTAACAGTCGTATTATATTAACACACAATGTAACTAAAGATAGCTAGCTACGCACACACATAAATATTTCTAAAGGTAACTACGCGCATTATATTTTCGAATGTAGATCCTAAACTAAATCTTTTACGTTGGAAAAAGATAGAAATTTGAAATTGTACATGAAAGGAATTCAGTTTATGCATGCATAATTTTATCAAGTGGTTTAAGTCATATATATATAGAGAGAGAGAGATTAATTCATAAGAATAAATAGTAAAATTAAATTAAATTTAACTAATTCTCTTGCGCAATTGCTTCAAGAAAGGAAATTTGAATTTAAAAAGCATTCTCTATTCGTATAAAGCAAATTTAAAGCTAATTAAAATTTAAATTTTAAATTATGAAATTTTAAATGGATCCCAAAAAATGATTAATTATTGCTGCGAACTATTTTACAATATCATTTAAATTCTGAGAGCATGTGTAAATTAAGTACAAGTATCTAAAACCATGGAAAAATATGTAATATTCCAAAAAATTAATCCCAAAAAAATTTTTTAAAAATTTCTAAGACTAAATTAATTTGCATTGGTGAATAATTGTTGAGCAGGCAGGAGACAGATGTTATCAAGGGGAAGTTGCCTCCAAACCTAACTCTTCAATTACTGAATACGTGTTTCGTCATCCATATAGGAATGGCTATAGTAATGTTCAAAACCAAAAGTAAAGCCAGATGAAGTGAATTACTAAAAAATTTGAACAAAATGAAATTTTGAGAAATTTAGAACGCAAATTGACTAAGAATCAAAATTAATTAAATGTAAATTCTCAACGTAAAAAGAAAAGAAAAACAAAGTTTTCTAGAGAAACAAAAGTAATTTAGAAACCTTTGCCTATTTGAAAACTTTCCCGACACGAATTATGCATGTAAATCAAAAATAAACTATATACAATCTATTAAAAATACATAAAAAATACTAAAATAATACTAAAAAATTAAATTAAAACTAAGTGAGATAGATTTCTGCTAACTGCATAAATAGAGGACGCTGATGTAAGTTAAAGTTGAGTGTTAAGCTGCTGTCTATGAGATATATTGTAAAAACCTATTCTGTAAACTCTTAAGTAATGTAAAATGTGTGTTCTGTGTGCAAAAGTGTTGCTAATTGTGATGCATTGTAAAAATGTGTAAAAAACTGAAAAAATTGCTAACTGTTACAGCTTGTGAAAATAGATGTCGCAAACTACTAAGAATTGTAAAAAATCAAAAAAATGTTTTTGAAATAAAGTTCGAAGAAATTTTTTGAAGTAAAATTAATTTAATTTAATTTTAAGTTTGAAATTTTTTAATTTTTAATTCAATTAAATCACACATTGAAATAAATAGAGAATGATTAGTATAAGAAATTTTTGTAATAGTCTGAATTTATTAAAACTGAATTTCTACAAGTTTAATCAAAACCTTACTAAATACTGGCTAAAAGTAAGGAAAAATAGAAAAAGATAAAAATGTTCACTCAATTCGGACTATAATTGAGACTTCTGAAAAGAGTTGGCCCTTCATTAGTAAAAGGAAAATCCAGTATTGGTAAAATATACATTTTTACAAATTAATTAATTAATATTTACAAGTATAATCCATCAACTCTTCAAAATTCTCCATTACCTTCCAGGATAAGGTTAAATTTAAATGCTATGCATTTTGACTAAAAACTGCCACGTGACCAAAATTTTCGTAGTGTAAAAACTTGTCTTAATGGATTTATTTTTTTTTTTTTTTTAATTTGGAGCATAGATCTACAAACAATCATGCAATGGATACTTTGAAAGCTAATCTTTTTTTAACACCCTGTACATAAACTTTCAAATTAATGCCCCTGAGTTCTTTTCTCTGATTTATTTTAGAAATCTTCAAAGTCGAACTTCTATCACTCAGCATCTGCCGTAAAGTGTGCTATGAATGATTCAAAATCTTTGGTTACCATATCACATCTGTTTAGCCGCAGTTAATGAAAACTGCTGATTTAGATCCGTATCCAATTCAAGGACTATATGTCTTCCAATTTCTATTCAAATGAAGAGATGATATCTCGAATTTAAAAAATAAATGTGGCTAACCTTTGATGTGAAAGAAAATCAAGAAGAAATACTGTTATAGCTCTTTTGATTTTCAAATACTCGACGTAGCTACTTCAGTTTTTTCCAAAACGAAGAACAAATTTTTCGTGCCTTGGGTTAAAAAAGTTATTTTTTTATTTATAAAATGAGAATGAAAAAGATTGTCATGATAGAGTTAAAATAAAGTAATTCTAAAGTTTAAAATATTTTAATTTTGGTATCATGGGAACTATTGTATTTTGCCTTCAGTATTTAATATTCAGGGACAAGCCTTAAAAAAATAATGTAAACTATTTTTTTCTTTTCAGGCAAATAAAGCCGGATAGTATGAGACGGCGTTTTAAATCATCAACGAAAAAGAAAACACTTAATCCAGAATACAACGAGGTAAGAAAATATTTGCATATAATTTAAACTACGGAATCTGTCTTTTCCGAATCATTCACATGTTTAATAGCTATTTAACGTTAATATTTAAATAATGGGATAAGTTTTGAATGTCCTTGCTTTCGTATCATTATTTTATTGTTATTTTATACGTTTACAGCAATTTGCATTTGAAGTAGACTACCAAGATATGACTAAGAAGACTTTGGAGGTAACAGTCTGGGACAAAGATTGTGCAAAGTCAGATGTTTATATTGGTAAGCTTTTTCATTTTCTCAAACAAGTTCATTTAAAACAAGAATTTTTTTATACAGCTTTTCTCTGATATCAAGTTTGAGGGTGTATTATCTTAAGATTTCAAATAAACAAATCTTTGGATTTTTCAATTTCTGACTATTTTTACTTAAGATTATTATTGATAAATTTTTAATAATCTAAAAAAATGTAATACGGATAATTATTCGAAATTTTTTTAATAATTAATCTTATATACCGTCTTGAAGTGATGATTTAATGAAATTTCTTACTGATTTATTATAATTCTTCTAAAAATATTATCGAATATGAGTCGATGAAATTAATAGTATAATTAATAATATATTCATAATCAAAATAATACGAAAAAGGATAACTAGGAAGCTAATATTTTGTATTGCAAAATTCTATGAGTACCAGGCATATTTCAGAGACACAAAAATGCTAATCTAAATTAAAAATAAAATATTCTCAGTTATAAATACAATTTATCTATTTTATGACAATTTATCTTATGTCAACAAAATGAAAGCAAGGAATTCAGAATATTAAAAACAAATTTTAGACTTTTAGTCTAATATCCACATAAATATGGTTTTTTCTTGTTTAACAGGTGGTTTAGCTCTCAACATGCAATCAAAGGGCGATCGTCTTCGTCATTGGATGGACGTCCTCAGGAATCCTAACATTCGGGTAGAGCGCTGGCATCCTCTCAGCAATGTTGTCTTCATAGACTGAAAACCTTTCTATTACCATATCTCTCTGTCACATATTATTCTGCATCAGGTACTTCAGAATGAAAATGTGCCTGCCTCTAGTAGAAATTCCTTTGATGTACGGAATGCATTCTTGTAACAGGTTTTCCAGTTGTGCCAGAAATATATAATCTACGTTAGTCTATGCAAAGTTATGTTATAACATTGAAAAGATCAAAAGGGCTAAGAGAATAATGCTGTTTGAATTAGAAGGTGCATGCTGATATCTCAAGTCTTTAGCTACAAACAACAAAACTGTTTGGCAAGCGTTCATCATTTAAGGAATCAATTTATTTTAATTTACCTTTATGCTGAGAATCGAACTAAAGTTTTTGTATAAGTGCAAAAAGGTTTCATATTGGTTTTCATAAAGGTTTAATATTCATATTGTAAAATAATATTTTACATATTCTTTGACGAACTCGTTAAATGGAAAGAGAAAAGTTTATAGCTTTATTCATGATGTTCAAAGATTAGAAGTTGGTCAGCGTGAAATTCGCTGTAATTTTTACCTTGAAAATTCTTGTTAAAAATAATAAGATTTTTTTCTTTGCCCTATTTAAATAGCATTGTTTAGCCAACATAAAATAAATTATTATTGCAATGTAAACTGAAACATATAAACATATATGCTTTCACATCTGTGGAAACACACCACAGATGTGAAAGCATGCGTGATTATGATGCAAAAATATTATGTTCAGAATGCTCGACAATATTTTAACTGAACTCTCTGTATTTTACAGAACATTCACTTCATCAGCATATTTCTTTATTTAATGAAACAAAAAATAGTCTTTCGAATTTATTCTATTTCGTGACGTTGTAATTGAAATTATTTTCTTTAAAAGGAGAATCATTTAATCCTGAATTTTAACGAAAATCCCATTTAGCCCGTATTTTACTTGTCATTTAATATGATAATCTTCTTATGCCCATTTTTTTAGATTATTTAATATAAATTATTATCAAGAGAACTTCAGCTACTTATCTTTGAATTTTAAGCTTCTAAGAATTTTTACATACGAATATTGATTTAAGTATGACAATAAAAAAATTTTATTCTATGTTCCTCCGACATTACTGGTTTTAAGTTAATCCCAATGACTAAGTTTTAAGTTTATCCCAATAAAAGCCTTAAGCTTAATTGCATTATTCAGTCTTTTGAATGAATGGATTTTAGAGACTTAAGTACAGTTTTTAAGTTTCAACAGATTGGATATCTAATCGAAATAAAAAGTCGAGTTTTGTCGAGTTAATATTAGCATACTAACATAGTTTTTAAATAACCCTCTGATAATTTCTGAAAAAGAATAAAAATTACAGTTTAATAGAAACAGTTTCGTTTCCCTCTTAACCTAGCACAGAGAAAAAGGAAATGATTTTACTCAGTCAGTAATTCAAAAGTATTAATAATATTTAATATTAATTAGTGAATTAATTAATAAACTTTAAATATTGACTTGTTAGTAACTTTATAACACTTTGAGATCTAATAGTTATCTTTCTGAATTGCTCTAAAGTTCAGTATGTAAAGCACCTTTTAAAATTTTTCAATCTTAAAATTACAGATTTACTACTGCTCTCTAGTCACAAATTATAAAGCACCCAAACGTTAACAATGACAAAATTTTCTTAAAATATTTATATTCTTTCAGTATTTAAAAGCCTGCATACGTGCAGTTAAATGATCCCCTAACTTGAAATTAAAGAATGATTAATTAATCAAAAAGAAATTCAACAGTTATCAGGAAACAAAATCCGTTAAACATTCTTCTGTTGTAGAATCCCAGTTCATTAACATACAAGGCATGTTTACACATTTTTAGAACGATTTCGGGGCAGTTTAATTAATGTTTAAAATGTAAAGAGGTTTTTTTTTTTAATGTTCGATCTGATAGTCAATGTGATTTCCATAATCGAAGGGCTTTTTTCAAAATATCCAGTGGTATTGATTTCCATTTCTCTCCACTACTTCCCAAAGTCCTTTAGTCGTTGTGAGTTTGCGCATAGAAAGATTTCTTTCCATAAGCCCAAAGGCTCAATGGTCCATAAGCGAAACATTAGAGGACGTTGCAGGAATACGTTGAAAAGATACATATGCAATACCTGTATCACTTTTTATTTCTCAAGAAATGCAGTAGTACTTTACAAAATACTCCTTGTTGCTTTATCTTGATGAAGTTCCTCTCTCTGAAAGTCATGGGAATGAAGTAAATATCGCACGTAAAATTTTCTTGTTAGTACATTGAGTTGCTTTTTAACACTTTTTACTTTTAATTTTCCATTGCAAGAGAATTCTACTACAGCCATAAACCCCTTACTGAAACTTTATTTGCATAGACAAAAAATACTTTTTCCTCTTTGTTTCCGAATAAACAGACTTTTTTTTTTAGTTCCAGTAATTTAGGTAAATCATGCTTCATCAAGGGTCACAATGCATCTCCATTTATCTCCTGTTAAATATAAGGCCCACCCATAAAAATTTTGCCCATGAACTATTCCTTATAAATAATAAAAGGATTATTAATCTTCGTATAAATTTGTATCCTACAAAATATTCGCCGTAGTAGGATGTACAATTATTCCGACATTTTTTCGGGTCATCGAAACACTGTTTATAAGCATTGGAACTAACCGTTTGCAATATACTCATAACATTGATTTAATATCTGAGACGTTTTCAAATCTCTGTAATTTCGAGGCCATCTTAAGCTTTGAGAAGAGGAAACCATCGGCTGACGATAAGTCGGGAGAATATGATGGGTGATTTGTCAATGCAGTCGAACACTTAGCAAGTTGCATTTAAAGATTTTGCATTTGTTTCCTGCATAAGCTGATTTTCTCTTGTTATTAACCATTTAACTTTAAAAAACTTACAAAGAGTATGCATCTTTTCAATGTATTAGTTTGGAGGCTTCTTTCCATGTAGACGTAATGACATACGGTTTTTCCCTTTCTTATTAATAATGTCGCTTATTTCGCCCTTATAAACTTTAATGCCATTCGTTTCACAACGTTTTTCAATTATGGAATAAGAGTATTTCTCTTCGGAAAGCTGAGAAACATTCCTTCAATTCACAGTTGGTTTTGCGTGCAACATTTTGGAAGAAGAATACATTTAAAAGTAGCAGATGATATTTCTCATTTCAAATTTTTAGCTATTTCTATAAGTGTTTATCCCAAAATATATGCTTTGTTTTTAATTCTTTATTGAAATTTTTCTAAAAATGTATAAACGTCTTCTACACATGGTATCTTACGCTTGTTCTGTTGTTACAACAAATCCAAACTATTACATCGTACATGATAAATACCTTTTATACTTCCAAAGTATTTTAGCAGTAATCAAAGTAATTTTACTATATTAGGAATCTATTAAATCTCGAAACATTACATTTTACTATTTTTTTTTTTTTTATTTAACGCTTTTATGCAAAATTGTAGCTTAATCAAAATCAGCGGTGTTTACATTTCTTTTGTTTTCTTTGTCCATCATTTAACTTTATCATGTTAGAAAGTTTGAATACAAGGCTACAGTATTTGCAAGTGATTTAAATTAATGAATTTCGAAAACTGCAGAGTTTTTGAAAGGACAACTCTCAACGTGGCAGAAAAAAAGAAAATGGATTTCTCTCAATATTTTCGAAGTAATATTGCTGAAGATGTCCATGAATGGATTTTGCAAGAGTCCCAGTTTCAATAAGATCAAGCAAAATTAGCTCAATTATAAAAATAAAGCGTTATCCATGTTTTTAGGTATTCAATATAGCTGTGTTTTGCGACAATGTAAAAGTTTAATAGTTACTTTAGCTGTCATTAATTTTGGTTCTTGGCAGAGGAAAATCACTTTTGGGTTAGCAGCAATAAAATTTCCATTTACAGTATATTTATACAGAGAAAGCAGTTTGTAGTTGACTTCAGTGAAGAAGTTCTAAAGATTTTAAGCACCAGTGGTGTTTTTGAAATGAATAACATTTGTAAACGGACTCTATAAAATGACTTCATCTCAAGACCGACTAATAATAATCTGCCATAATTTCTGCAGGACTTTGATTTTCTGAATATCTTCTCTCAGGATAAACAACTCACATAGATATGAGAGTATTCAAACCTTATCTCACTCAAATAGTCAGATTGGTAAATCCTCTATAGACTATGCTTTTCAGTTTGAACTAGGAATCTCCTACGATGTACAGCACTAAATGCTTATAAACAAGCACAAATGTCAGATGAAGAAATAATACGATTGGAGTCCCGAAATAAACAAGCAACTACTTCGACAAAAGCGAGAGAGTGAGAGAACTGTTCCTAGGAAAGCACATAAAAGAACTGCCAGCAACGTATCCAGTGGAGAACTAGCGAAAACCAATTAATATGAAGCCCTAAGTGATGATGAGAACTTGGTAATGATGATGAAATGAAACTAATGACTGCAGTGGTGACGGCAGTTTGGATACTTCTGCCTTGCAAAGTATCGAATCAAACGAAGAATTTATAAATCGCGAAAAGGGTGCCGGAAAAATTCCTTCAATAATAGTTTCTGAAGTTTTAGATTGGAAAATTCTAAATGAGCAAATAGAAGCCCTAAGGAAAGCACTGGAAATCACGAAGGAAAGAATATGATTATTAAAGTTTTCAACGAAGCTCACTTCTGCAAAGTAACCGTTGACTTTGATGCTAGAGAAATCCCATATCATTTGTTTCCCCTCTTGAAAGATAATTCTGTACGCCCGGTTATCAAAAAACTCATGAAAGGCACAAATCCTGATTATGTCAAACAGGTAATACTAGAAAAAAAGACTGTTGGGCTTTTAACAAAAAAAAAAAAAAAAAAAAAAAAAAGTTGGAGTAGAGATTAAGCCTTTTCCTATGCTTCTCGCTGAGACTAAACGCATGAAAAAGGCAAATTAACCTATAGCTAACTAACCTAATGAACTTATCTATTTATGTAAAGCACTTTAAAACCACTTGGGGCCCATATCTATCAGCATTATGGACACAGTATGGTCTATTGGCATCATAATTCCCGCTGGCTTAAGTGTGCTCAAAATCACTTGACTAATATTTGTCAAAAGGACATAACTGCTCCTGGCTAGTGTATTCTCTGCGAAGGGGACCACTTGGCCTTCTATACAGGCTGTCCACGGTAACATCAAAATTTAAAAAGACAAGAAAAAAATGTTAGAATTTCCAATAAAAAAAATATGAAGATTTTTGTGAAGGCCTTAGCTAGTAAGAGGTAGTCACAGTCATTTACGGACTAGATTATAAATATATTAATAAAAACTAAATCTCTCGTTGAAATATTCAAAAGAAAGATTTACCTAATGTGGAAAATACAAATGG